AAATGAGCCAGGCGTGCTGGCATGCACCTCTGGTCCCAAGTACTCAGGAGGCTGAGGCAGGAGGATTGCTTGAGCCCAGGAAGTTGAGGCTGCAGTAAACCATGATCGCGTGATGGCACTCCAGCCTGGGTGACCAAGTAAGATCCTGCCTTAAAAAAAAAAAAAAAAGAAGTGCTGAGATTTCTGTTTGGATTTTATTATTATTATTATTTTTTGAAGTAAGGTCTCACTCGTCATCCAGGCTAGAGTGCAGGGATACGATCAGATATGATCACTGCTCACTGTAGCCTTGACCTCCCAGGCTCAGATGATTCTCCCACCTCAGCCTCTAGAGCAGCTGAGACCACAGGCTTCCACCACCACTCCTGGCTAATTTTTTTTTTAATTTTTTGTAGAGACAGGGTCTCCCAATGTTGCCCAGGTTGGTTTCGAACTCCTGGGCTCAAGCAATCCTCTCACCTCGGCCTCCTTGAGTGCTGGGACTACAGACGTGAGTCACCATGCCTGGCCTCTATCTGGATTTTAACAGACTCACATAAGAGATAACCCTAGCAACAGTGGCTCAAACACAGCGCTCTTTGTGGACTTTCTGCTTCTCCAGGGGCATCTGGTGAGCTGCGGCTTTCAGTGTGTTTCATACACCATGTGAAGATCTTTCCTCATGAGAGGAACTGAGGCTACATTGTGTAGGGTCCGGAGAGGGGGTTGGAAAACTTTTGTAATAACATCTGAAAAGGGAAATAGCCATTTTCATGAAGAAACTACCTTCATTTAACTGGAAAATGTGTTTTCTTTTTCCCACAGGGGGACTTCCCCTGGGATGACAAGGATTTCCGCAGTCTGGCCCTTTTGGGGGCAGGTGTTGCCGTGGGATTTTTCTACCTCTATTTTCGAGATCCTGGAAGAGAAATCACTTGGAAGCACTTTGTACAGAATTACCTGGCCAGAGGTCTGGTGAGAGGCATTTATAGTTCGCCTACCTGGGAAGGAGGCCGCTGTAGTGGTGTACACGTGGTCTGCGATGCCCGTAAGAAGCTGTGAGCTCTGAGGCCTGGGTTGAGAACGCATTGTGTGGTAGATGTGCTGGGCAGTCCCACCCTCTGGTCATAGATGAGACACAGTTTTACTTTTCTCAGGAGTGACCCCAACAGAAGGTGAGTAAGCTCATTTTCGTGCTGGGTGGAAGCTTCCTTAACATCTTGGCTTTTTTTTTTTTTTTTTTTTAGCTTCAGCTTCTGTGAGTAAGTTCTGATTGTCTGTGTCTGTTTATCATCAAGTGTCAATTTCTTATTTAATTCAGATCTTTTCTTTCCCCTAGTGTACCCCTGTCTACTCCTGCACCCCTGTGTCCTGCTGAGTGGCCCTGGACAGTAGTTGGGGGCTTTGTGTCTGTGCACAGGGGCATATGGCACCAACAAGCCTCCGCCTGTCCTTCACTGGGCCTGGGTCTGTCAGGTTGCTGAAGGCAGGCGAAGCACTGCTCAGGCTTTAGTATAAAGTTACATGAGAGCAAGTGCTGTGCTACTCAGTTGCCCTCAGAAATATGTTTCTTAAGTGATGCAGTGTTAAGATCTGAACTTCTTTCTGTAGGAAAATCTTGTTTTCCCAGCAGAATTTGTGGCTAAGGCCTTTTTTTTTTCCCTTTTTGAGACAGGGTCTTACCCTGTCACCCAGGCTGGAGTGCAGTGGTGTGAAGTCTCGACCTTCTGGTTCCAAGCCAGCCTCCCACGTCAGCCTTCTGAGTGTCTGGGACTATAAAAAACATAATTTTTTTTTTGGAGATGGAGTCTTGTTGTGTCGCCCTGGCTGGAGTACAGTGGCATGATCTCTATTCACTGCAACCTCCACCTCCCTGGTTCAAGTGATTCTCCTGCCTCAGCCTCATGAGTAGCTGGGATTACAGGTGCATGTCACCACGCCTCCACGGGAGGTGGAGGTTGATAATTTTTTGTATTTTAGTAGAGATAGGGTTTCACTGTGGTGCCCAGGCTGGTCTCGAACTCCTGAGCTCAGGCAGTCCTCCCGCCTTGGCCTCCCAAAGTGCCAGGATTACAGGCGTGAGCTACCGTGCCTGGCCCGCAATTTCTTTTTTTAGAGACAGTGTCTCCGTATGTTGCCCAGGCTGGTCTCAGACTCCTGGGCTCTAGTGATGCTCCCACCTCGGCCTCCTGAAGTGCTGCAATTATAGTTGTGAACCGCCACCCAAGGCCTTTTTGTCTGGCCACAGGGCACACAGCTGTCTTCAGAGAGGTCCTTGACGACTCCTCACGCGAGGAGGGGAGAGCTCCTGTAGCCCCTCTCTGCCGTGGGTCTTCACCCACAGCTGCTGCCATGAGGAGGGGTGAGACAGATAATTTGGCCCACGATGCCTGCTGGTGTGTGGGTTCTGGACAGATCCCAGAGCTTCTGCGAGGTCCTTTTCAGGTGTCTGACACGCTGACCGTGCCGTGGTTGTGGGGTTAGGCTCGAGACACACCTGTCATAAACACGTTGATGTTGGTCACATGACCCTGAGTAGTCAAGAAAAGTTGTGTCGTCGTGGTTTCCGTTTCTGTGGAGGGGGAAGAGCAACGCTGTTGTCATCGTACCTGACGAAATGGCTGCCCCCTCACGTGTTTTTGCTGCACACCGGCTCTCAGGCTGTGTTCGCCGCTGGCTGGCTGCATGGAGGCCTTTGGGGTTGCGTTTTCATTCTTGGCACCATTTTCTTGTGCTATCTGCAGCTGTGTGGGCGAAATGTTTCTGGATGAGTTCTGGAAGACTTTGCTGTATTGTCAGTCTGAGACTTCTATACCTTTAGATTTTTTTTTTTTTTTTTTCAGATGGAGCCTCACTCTGTTGCCCAGGCTGGAGTGCAGTGTGCAATATTGGCTCACTGCCACTGCCGCCTCCCAGGTTCAAGCAGTTCTCCCTGCCTCAGCCTCTTGAGTAGCTGGGATTACAGGCGCACACTACCACATCCGACTAATATTTGTATTTTTGGTAGAGACAGGGTTTCACCATGTTGGCCAGGCTGGTCTCGAACCCCTGGCCTCAAATGATCCACCCTCCTCAGCCGCCCAAAGTGCTGAGATTATAGGTCTGAGCCACCGCGCCCAGCCTTCCTTTTAGGTTTCAAGTCGCTCTGGAATCTTTGGTGCTCAGATCTCAAATGTACCAGGTCTGAGCCACCACGCCCGGCCTTCCTTTTAGATTTTTAGGTCACTCTGGAATCTTTGGTGCTCAGATGTACCAGGTCTGAGCCACCACGCCCGGCCTTCCTTTTAGGTTTTAAGTTACTCCGGAATCTTTGGTGCTCTGGAATCTTTGGTGCTCAGATCTCAGATGTACCAAATTGTAAATCCTCTGAATTACATGTACAGGCCAGGCTAGAAATGTCCAAGTCAGTGGGAAAACAAAACTCGGATCTGCACAGCAGAGTGCATGCAGCTTCTCAGACACCGTCAGAGTCTCAGTCTGCACTGTGGGACTAGTCTGAGGATAAGCCTGAGGTTTAGTATCGAATATGATACTCACTGCTTTAGCCGTGGGCTGGTCTGAGGGTGAGGCCCTGTTTACTGTTGAATATCATACTCATTGCTTTAGCCATGCTGATTGTTTTTCTCTTTTTCCCAGGTGGACCGGCTGGAAGTCGTGAACAAACAGTTTGTGCGTGTTATTCCTGCCCCTGGGACCTCTTCTGAGGTGAGGGGTGAGTTTGAGGCTGAGTACTCCAGACATAAGTTTTTTTCAGTAAAATACTCCCTTAGTATCCATCAACTACTCTTTAATGTGATTTTTTTTCTCACTGGCGTGTATCAATAACAAAGCTTTCCGAGTAGGACAGGAGCCCTTATAACCCTAACTAGGGTTCAGATTTGCCGTGCAGTGTCTGAGAACAGCTTATCGAGGACTGTGGGGAGAGAAGAGACAGAAATAAAAGAGTAAAAAGCAAAAAGGAACGGCTGGGCATGGTGGCTCATGCCTGTAATCCCAGCACTTTGGCAGACAGAGGTGGGCAGATCACTTGAGGCCAGGAGTTCAAGACTTGCCTGGCCAACATGGTGAAACCCCATCTTTACTAAAAGTACAATAATTAGCCAGGCATGGTGGCCTGTGCCTGTAATCCCAGTTACTCAGGAGGTGGAGGCATGAGAATTGCTTGAACCCGGCAGGTGCACGTTACAGTAAGCCAAGATCATCCCACTGCACTTCAGCCCGGGTGACAGAGGGAGACTGTCTCAAAAAGAAAAAGAGACAAAGGCACACCCCAGCAGTCATTGGACATTTTACACTTTTGTCTAGAACTTAAAGACTGTAATTTCGTGGGGCCAAAACCAGAGTCTTCTGCTGTTAGTATAGTTTCCCTTGGAGCTAGCCTCGGCCCAGGCCTCGTCCATGTTGTGGAGATTAAGGCTAGGAGAAGAGGCAGTGGGAGGTGCATGTGTGAGGGTGGGGCTCAGGGTGGGACACAGTGATGCACCCTAAGCTTGCTCTTGCTCTCTGCAGAAGTTCGTGTGGTTTAACATTGGCAGTGTTGACACCTTTGAGCGGAACCTGGAGTCTGCTCAGTGGGAGCTGGGGATTGAGCCCCCCAACCAGGCAGCAGTGGTCTACACCAGTGAGAGTGACGGGTGAGGAGGATGGTGAAGGGCCTCTGTTTGAACACAAAACAAAAATGCCATGTTTAACCTGTTTTGGAATATATTTCTCAAACTTATAAGCATCTATAATAAGCAATGCCTGTAGTAAAAAATATATATATACACTTTTATATATATATGGGTGTGTGTGTGTATATATATGTGTGTATATATATGTTTTTTACTCTGTTTTTCATGAGAAGAGAATTGAAGCAGGGAAATAATTTGGCTACGCAGCCTTAAAAAAGAAAACCAGTCGTTTGGGTGTCTTTGTTGTAG